CGCACACACTTAAGCTCACGCACACTCACACTCACACACACACAATCACATGTGCACACACACGCACAATCACACGCTCAAGCACACACACGCACACACATGCACAATCACACGCTCAAGCACACACACTATCACACGCTCACGCACACGCACACAATCACACGAGCACACACACGCACAATCACACGCACACAATCACATGCTCAAGCACACTCACACGCTCACGCACACACACTCACTCACACACACACACACAATCATACTCGCACACACTTAAGCTCACGCACACGCACTCACACACACACAATCATATGCGCACGCTAACGCACACTCACACGCATACTCACACAATCACACGCTCAAGCACACGCATACACACAATCACATGCACACTCACGCTCACACACACACACAATCACATGCGCACGCACACGCTTAAGCTCACGCACACACACACACACACAATCACACCCGCACGCACACATTTTAACAATTTATTTAAGTCCACTTAAAAGAAATAACTTACAAGGACGTAAATATTATAGATAGTTAGATACATCTACAAAATCATGGACCCACACGCACACACACAATCACATGCGCACGCACACTCACACACACACACACAATCACACACACACAATCATACGCTCAAGCACACGTTCAAGCACACGCTCAAGCACACACACACACTCACACACAGAATCACACGCTCAAGCACACTCACACACACACACACTCAATCACACACACACAATCACACGCTCAAGCACACGCTCAAGCACACACACACACACACACACACAGTGTTTGTGTTCATGCCGTCATATAGTGAGACGCAGAGGCCGGGAATCACCACGAGCGTCACGCTGCTTCAGTATTTGTGTAGTAAACAAAACCACGTTTCCGCCATTCATACATACAGAGGCAAGAGAGAAACACACCGTCATACACATTAACATATGTTTGTAAACACACAAAATAATAAATGCTGTTCTACTGAACTTTCTATTCATCTGTGAATCCTGAAAAATAAAATGTATCACAGTTTCCACAAAAATATTGTGCAGCACAACTGTGTTCAACATTGATAATAATCAGAAATGTTTCTTGAGCAGCAAATCAGCATATTAGAATGATTTCTGAAGATCATGTGACACTGAAGACTGGAGTAATGATGCTGAAAATACAGCTGCTCATCACAGACATACATTACAGCAATCCCTCTTTTAAAAGTGTATTAAATCATATCAGCAGCAAATGTGTTTTTTCAGGCCAAATTATAAAAATCATAACAATAAAGCTTCAATAAATAAAGAAAATTACATTTTATATTTATACATATTACAAATATAAAAACAAACAGCAATTTTATAAGCTTTTAACAATAACAACTGAGACATACAGAAAATTACAGAAATTGAACCCTTTTTTACTGGATCCAGCAAAACATATGAAAAAAAGTGTTGTACATTAGATATTATAATTATTATCAATTCATACATTTTAAATTATTATTAGTTTTTTGGAAGTAAAATACCCCTTCATAAAATTACAATACAACCATTATTTGAAATACAGTTGGACGAACAAACACTAGATGAAAAACGTACATTTCTACGAAAATTAGAAATGTAAAGTTAAATGAAAAAAAATCAAGTTTTCCATCTTTATTTCAATTAATGAAAAAACACGAGTATCTTTAGTTTTTTTGTTAAAACTTCAACTTCAACTTTTTAAATTTCCATTCAAGTTTAGGTTACAGTACTAAAATGACTAAAACTATTCATATTTTTCCCATTAACTGACATAAATATAAAATAAAACAAAACATATTAGATGGAAACCCTAAACTGAAAGCTTGAACAAAAATCAGAAATGTTGCCTTATTTTAGTTAGATTTAGCAGAAATCCACAGTTAATTAACCTTTAGCAGTTATTAACATTGTTCGAGTTAATTCGGCGCTGTCATTGCTATTATAATCTCCTCAAACCCTGGTCTGGGAAACTCTAATTTAGGCCAGAAATGACTGACTGATGAGTAAATACTGATATTAACATCAACAACAGCAATTGAACACTTATTTTAAGTAGAGTTTAGAACCAACACGAATGACTGCTTCTGTTAATGATGGTGATTTACATATTGGTCTATTACCAACCAAAACCCTCA